AGGAGAGGGAGGGGAAGGGGAGGGAGAACGGACGACCTCGGCGTCCTCAGGAGCAAGTTCACCGACCTCGGCGAGTAGAGGCAGCGTCGCCGTCATCGGTCGGCGGGGTGGTTGGCGTCCGACTGGACACCGGCCCGTGCTCCGACTTCCACACCTCCAGCGACATATCCTCGTAGAACACCACGTCCGACGTGGTGACGCCCCGGTTGGCGTCAATGTAGAGGAGCTCCCAGCCCTTGCTCGCCTCCGACACACCGAGGTGCAGGCCCCACATGGCCTTTCGGCTTCAGCTTCCCACCACGCTACTGCTCGGGGACGAGGAACTGCGCCATGTAGCCCCACACCCGCGCCAGCGACAAGTTGGGCTTCTGTCCGGTCAGCAGCTGGTACGTCGTTGTCCCCGTCGGCAGCGTCGGCCTCTCAAGGCAGTTGCGGACCCAGACGGCCTGCCGTAGGGCGAGGTGCCACCAGTGGTGCTGCACGCCCATGTGCAGCAGCATCGTCCGCACCGACTCGACCACCGTCCTCATCTCTCGCTCCGCCATGCCGTTCTGCTGCGGGGTGTACGGGCAGGTAAGGTCGTGGATGATCCCCTTGCCGTCCACGAAGTCGGTGAACTTCTTCCCGAGGAACTCCCCTCCTTGGTTGGAGAGAAGCATCAACACCGACTTCGTCGTGTGCCTCTCCACCAACACCAGCCACTTCTGGAACTCCAGCAGCACACCCGACTACTTGGCGACCGGCCTCACCCACACGAAGCGGGTCTTGCGGTCCTTGAGCAGCAAGAAGTACAAGCTGCCGTCCTTGGCAGTCACGCGGAACGGCCCGCACAGGTCGATGTGCACGACGGCCAGCACGTCGTCGGCGTCAGAGCCTTGGTCGGGGAGGGTGTGCCGCACCAGCTTCCCGCCGACGCACGAGACACACGGTGAGTCAGCGTCTGTCGCCCACTTGAGGTCCAGCCCAGTGGCGACCTCGTGCTTTGCTGAGCTCCGTATGGTGTCCATGCCGACGTGTGCAAGCCGCGCATGCATCCTGTCCGGCGTTGACTTCGTCTTCGAGACGATCGGCCGCAGGGCCACAACCTCCGGCGTGGGCGACGTCGACCTTGTTGAGCAGGGACGCAGGTCGGTGCAGAGGATACGCCAGGAGTACGTCGCCCGACCGAGCACCTCTACCGCTGCCGAAACGAGCAGCATCCCGTCGCCGTCCTCCTGTAGCTTCACGCCGTGCTCCTTCAGCTGGCCGGACATCAGCAGGTTTGCCCGCACACCCGGGACGTACAACACATCGGGGATGAGCACCTGCTTCCCGGCCTTCCCTTGCAGGGCGACGGTGCCGCGGCCCTGGACGTCATGCAACGCCCCATTGAAGCCGCGCACGTACTTGATGGAGCCGCTCGGCTGCAGGTCGACAAAGACATCTTTCGTCCCCATCAGGTGGTGGGAGCAGCCGCTGTCGAGCAGGACCAACTCCGGGTTCGCCTGCACAGCTGCCGCCACCGCCTGGAAGTCCTCCCCGGCCTCCACCGCCAGGGAGACGATCGGCTCCACGACGCCGACCAGCGAGCACGACGCCGTCTTGTCGTCCCGTGCCTAGGCGCCAGCAGAGGAGTCGGCGTCCTTCGCTGAGGTCGTCTTGGTCGACTGCTTCTCCTTGCACGGCTGGTTTCCTCCTCGACGAGGACGACGGCTGCCAGACCTCCAACGGCCTCCCTTGGCGTCGTTGTTGTTGGAGTCATTGCGGTCGAGGCACTTGAAGGAGAGGTGGTCGGGGTTGTGGCAGATCCAGCACTCCCAACGTCGACTTCCTCCTCCTCAACCGCTGTCCTTGGTCGACTTCTTCTTGTCGACCTCCATGGCCGGTTTCCAGCCACTGCTATCACCGCGCCTGACTGTTCGCGCTGCCCCAGTCGACCTCCTTGCTTCGCCGGAGCGACGAAGTTTGCCTGCGCCCAGAGCTCCTGGGACCGCTGTGCCTCCTGCATCGCCTCGTCCTGCAGGATGTACAAGGACAAGCTGTCCTCGTTGAGCGTCGTCCTTGTGCCCGGCGCCATTGACAGCCGCTTCAGGAGGTTGTAATTGCTTGAAAGTCCCTGCATGACGTGGGTGACGTACGACACCGTCGAGTACTGCGCGCCGACCATCCTTATGGTGGCGAGAATCCGCCTGGCCCGGTTGCAGTAGTTGGTCGCCGTCTCCTCGTCGCCCATACGTAGGTGCGTCAGCTGTCTTTCCAGCTGGGCGATGAGCAGGTCGTCGGTGACTTGGTAGGTCAACTCAATTAAGTGCCACGCTTGGTGGCTGGTGTCGAGGTACTCCCGACACCACTTCAAGGCGATCTGCATACTCGGCGAGCAGCATCGCGAGACCACCATGAAGGTTAACAGCTGCACTGCTTGGAACTTTGCACGTAAGTCGGGGTCGTCCGGCGTTGCCACAGTACCTCGAGCAAAGTTGATCAGCCCAGCCATCTCCAGCTGGGGCTCGATGGCTTCCTTCCAGGTGAGGATGTCCTGTCGACCAACGAGTGGCCGGGCGACCAAGATCCTGTCCGGCGCAAACTTGAAGTAGCCGTAGCTCGATGCAATCCCGCCCGCCGTCACCTGGGTCGCCGACATCGGTGACAATCCGCTTTGTCGTCCTCCAACGTTGCCCTGCGAGGAGCCTGCAGCCGCCGACGACTGCACCCCTCGCGCCTGAACGCCGCCGACTTCATCGGCGTGAATCACACCTCTCTGCCTCGACGTGCCTCCCACACTGCTGCCGACTTGGCCACCTCCGGCGTTGACGCCCAGGTCGACGTCACATTCGTTGCTCGCCGGTCGAGGAGAAGCTGGTCGAGAAGGGGGATGCTCCATCGCCCACACAGAGCGGAGTCCAGCCTTGACGACCGCCCAGGGTATCGTCCCATACTCTTGGGCCTCATGGCGTCTCCTCGCATCCTCCAGCCGTCCCTCCAGGGTGTCTATCACCTTGGTGTCACCTACGCGCACGTTCGTGACTGTACGGCAGCCGGCCTACGAACAACTTAGGTAAGTGACCTCTAGATCGACCTGACTGAAAGGTAAGTCGTGTGCCGTCCACGCTCACCGCACCATGTGGAGATAACTACTACAACGGGAGCTAGACTACAGGCTAGGTATGGGTGCTCGTGTGATCTCTGCGCTCGTTGGTCTTTAGTCGTTTTCTTTGTGCGCACACTGGTTGCTAGTTCACGGGGCAAGTTGGCAAGAGTTTCACTAAGAAAGGTTGACAACAATGGTACAATGAAGTTGGCATGGCTATACTACATCAGAGCTAGCATCCAGGTCGGTTGACTGCCAGCACAGCATGGCCGACCGCGTTCCAGCACGACTTGATCTATTGCGCTCCAGCAGTGCAAAGTCGACGGCGTGCCAACGTTGCAGGTTGACGGCGTGCCAGCGTTGCTCCCGCAGAACAGCATCTCACCAGCTTCGCAGGTGCTCGCAGACGATTGGCGTGCAGAGCCTTGTGATCTGCACAGCGTACACACCAAGTCAACCAGGCGCTGACAACTGCATCTGATCAGCCACGTCGACCTCGGGATACCACCACCAAGGTTGGACTCGCCAAATTCGCCTGGGCGACCGTCGCACTCCTCCACAGAACCTCGTCACCCAGGTAACCTGGTCGACCAGGCAACCACGTCGACCAGGTGCTCCAGTATGTGCCCGTCGACCTCCCAAGTGGACGCTCACCTCCAGCCGACCTCACCAGGTCGACCACACCCCTGGTCGACCAGCTCCAGGTTGATGTCACTCCTGGTCGACCAGCTCCACGTCAACCAGCACAGTCGTTAGCCGACCACCCAAGTCGACTACCCGAAGTCGGCGTCACCAAGTCGACGCCCCTTCTACGTCGGCGCCGACTTCCAGGGCGACCTCTTGAAGTTGGCGACCTCCCAAGTCGGCGACCTTGCAAGTCGGTGACCTTGCAAGTCGGCGACCTTGCAAGTCGGCGACCTTGTAAGTCGGCGACCTTGCAAGTTGGTGACCTTGCAAGTCAGTGACCTTGCAAGTCGGCGCCGACTTCCAGGTCGACGTGTCACATCGCCGACCACCAGTTGAATTCGGTTTTTGGCTTCCCAAGTCGGTGGCATTGCAGTGGCCCCGTGCAAGTCGACCAACCCCGTCGACCAGCTCGCCCAATTCGGCGTCGCCTACTGCTGCAAGTCGGCTGTACCTCCCGTACACCCAACCACGAAGTCGGCTCCGCCCAAGCGAAGACGGGGCCAACAACAACTCCCGTCGACTGGTCTCACACAGGCGGCTTGGGCTCACATAGGCGGCTTGGGCTCACACATGCGGCTTGGGTTCACACAGGCGGCTTGGCCTCCCACAGGCGGCTTGGGCTCCCACAGGCGGCTTGGGCTCGCACAGGCAGCTTGGGCTCACACAGATGGCTTGAGCTCACACAGGTGGCTTGGGCTCACACAGGCGGCTTGGGCTCACACAGGCGGCTTGGGCTCACACAGGCGGCTTGGACTCACAGAGGTGGCTTGGGCTCACACAGGCGGCTTGGACTCACACAGGTGGCTTGGGCTCACACAAGGATCTTGGCATGCAAATGAGACTCTGTGCTGTTGCCTTTCTGAGAACCAAATCAGCATGCGAGCAGCAGGTTGTCACCACATCGAGCTGCTTGCATCCTACCCTACTGTGTGCCAGCATCTGTCACTTCACTATACCGCACTCTACCCTACCATATGCCATTGGCAGCACTGCAAAAAAGGCCAGAGGAGTAGTCGTAGTAATGTCCCTGCTGCTTGTTGAAGTAGTAGCTTGGGGGGGGGGGGGGGGGGAGTTGTGGGACGAGTGCGAGAGATTTCTTTAGAAGAGAAGTCCTAGTAATACCCCTACACCTTGTTACAGTGGTAGCTGGGAAGTGGAAGGGGGAAGTCCAGTTGAGAGGGGGAAGAGGGGAGCGGAGGGACATTGCTGGCATTGACATGCCAAGTGCGGTGGCCTGAAGAAAGTTCTATCGCAGTTGCAAACAGTAGAAGCGAGGGACATGGGGAGGGAAGAGGGGGGAGGGGGGGTCGCGAAGGAACGAGTGTGGTGGTGGGAAAGGAGGGGGTAGGGCGGGTTGAGCTGATAGAGACACAAGAAGAGAAGCACCCTTTGCTCTCACACTCTGCTCTCAACCAATGGACGGAAAGGTTCGGTTACCCAGAGCAGCCATGCACTCAACCACTGGCGTGGTCAAACTCATAGCCGCTGTTGCGCAACGCTCCACTCCCCCCACCCCCTGCCCTCTCCTCCCCTCCCTCCTTCCCCTCCCCTCCACCCATCTCCCCTTCTTTCCCTTTTGCCCCTCCCTTGGCCTCGTTCCTCTCACCTTCCTTCTCCCCCCCTTCCCCTTTACCATCGCCCCTTTTACCATCGGCCCCTGCATCACCCCTGCCCTCATCATCCTCATCACCAAACATGTCCATTCCCGCACCTCCCTTCTCCCCACTCCTTCTCTCCTCCCCCCTTTGCCCCCATCCCCCTTGGTCTCCTCTCCCCCGTCGCCACCCAGCAGCCCCTGGCGCGCCCTGAGGATGGCCTCGAACCTCGCGGCCTTGCACTCAAACGTTTCTTTTTCGTGTCCGAGTACACCTCTGCACTCATGCACACACTGTGCCGCATGGGGTTGAGGAAAGAAAGGGGGGGGCAAACAACACACCCGGACCATGCTCACAGCCGTTCAAGGTACAATGCTGCCTCGCGCTCAAACGTTTCCTTCTTGTCCAAGTACACCTCTGCACGCATACAAGTGTTAAGATCAAGCTTGAGGAAGCCATGGTTGCCTAGAGAGAAGATAGCGTGATTCAAATGTAGGAAACCCTAATTGAACTTAGGGTGTGTTCAGTTTGTGCTAGAAACTAAGAAATGAACCTAAACTGAACTGAAAGTGTAACGCGCTCTAAACATGGCGAAATAACAAAAGAACACCATGATAAATGCCAGAGCCAGCTCTAGCCTACTCCAACACACCAACAGGCTAGGTGAAGCTCTTGAACAAAATACCTAGCGAACCAGAATACCTCTAGAAGTGGCGAGACGAGTGAGCCCAAGCGCGCGCACGTAGAAACGGTGTGGCGCACGAAGGAGAGCCTTGGTGAAAATGTCAGCAAGGTTGGCAGTAGGCGCCAGCTTGCGAAGGCAAAGGAGGCAAGACTGCACCAACTCGCGCACAAAGAAGTAGCGTACCTCGATGTGTTTGTTGCGAGCATGATCGTCAGCATTTTCAGTGAGGTCAATCATGCTCGCACTGTCACAGGAGAGCATCACAGAGGGCTGAGAGCTCAGCAAGGAGAAACGAGAGCCAACGAGCCTCCTGAGCCGCTAATGTGCCTGCGTACAACTCAGCCTCGCAGGTGGAAAGGTAGACGGAGGATGAACGAGTGGAGCACTAGCTGATGAGGCCACTGCTAAGTGTAAAACTATAACCCTGAGAGGAGCGACTACCAGGGCGAGAATCAGCATAGGAGAAATCCCTATAACCGGAAAGAACGGAGGGAGAAGAGCCACCAAGAGTGAGTGCAAGATCAAAGGTAGCCCGAAGAAAGTGGAGATAACGCTTCGCAGCCACCTAGTGCATGTTAGTGTGGCGACCAAGGCCAACAAAACAAGAGACGAAATTGAGGGGGTAAGCAAGACCGGGGCTAGTGCACATCATAGCATACATGAGTGACCCAACGAACTCAGATTAGGGTTGCAGTTCTGAGGAGGGAGCGGGAACAGCAGGGGAAGTAAGCTGATGGTTAGCGGGAAGACGAGTGAAAACTGGCTTGGCCTGCGACATTTCAAAGCGCTCAAGAATGGAGTGGATGTAGAAAGATTGAGAGAGGGAGATGGTGCATGCAGCACAATCATGACGGATCTCCATGCCAAGGCAATGACGAAGTTTGCCAAGATCCTTGCACAGGAGATGTGTCCAGAGGGCCTGCTTGACAACAACAAGGTCGGCAGAATCTTCAGCGAGGAGCACCAAGTCATTGACGTAGGCAAGAATGTAAAGACTGTGGGGGGAAGTGCGAATGAAGAGACTGGGGTCGGAAGAGGAGGTGGAGAAGCCAAGAGAGTGAAGAGTGGAGGCGAGCTAGGAGAAGGTGGAGGAACAAGAGCAGAAAGAGGGGTAGCAGGAGGTGGTGAAAAGAGGGTGGGGGAGTAGGAGCAGAACGAGGGAGAGGAGAAGGATGTTGTGAAGGAGAGGGCATGGGAGCTGAAGAGGAAGAGGCAAGAGGAGAGATGCCGGAGATGACAGTAGAGGGGGGGGTGGAGGGGGCAGGGAGGGGAGGCCGAGCAGGGGTAGGAGGAAGGGGAGAAGGAGAGGGAGCAGCAGAGGGTAGCTGATCATAATCAGATCAATGGAGAGAGGGAGGAGGAGGGGAGGGAGGGGGGGGGGGGGGTGAGGAATGGAGAACGAGTCTCATCAAATATAACATCCTAGCTGCGAATGAGCTGTTGAGAGGAGGGAGCATAGAAAAGATAGCTAGGACAGTAAGTGTTCATGCCAATAAACGCACAGAGCTGCGTCTTGGGAGCGAGCTTCCCACCTTGACCTGCTCAATCTGTGGGATTAATGAGGACATGAGCGACACAGCCCCACACCCGAAGAGGGCAGGTGGATGGCTAGCGGCCAGTCTAGAGCTGGAAGGGTGTAGTGGAAGGGCAAAGGGGATGAGGGCGAAGGTTGTAAAAAAGAGTGGCATGAACAAGAGCGTAGCTCCAAAGAGAGTGTGGAGTAGAGGCACGAGAACACCATGAGAGTGCGAATGCGACGCTCGACAACACCATTCTTCTCGGGAGAATGCGGAAGGGTGGAGGTTTGGCGAATGCCATGAGAAGAGCAGTAAGAAGAGAGAGAAAGTGGTTAAAGAACTCGCCACCACCATCAGAGTGGAGGCGTGCGACAGGACGGCCAAAGCAAAGGCGTGCCTGCTCAGCCTAGCGAATGATGAGGGAGGGGGCGTTAGATTTAGAATAGAGGGGATAGACAGTGGCAAAGCAAGAGTGCTCATTGACAAGAAGGACAAGGTAACAATGATACTGACGGAAGGCAATGGGAGAGGGACCCCAGAGGTCCATATGCACAAGATCAAGGGGTTTAGGGGAGGCAAAAGGGGAAGAAGGATGAGAAGATTGGGAGAGCTTGGCTTGATCACAAGGGGTGCATGGAAGAGCGGGAGAGGGGGGAAGGGGCGGGAGAGAGGAAGGGAGACCATGAAGAAGTTTCGAATTGATCATGCTGCGAAGAGGAGGGAAGTTGGGGTGGCCAAGGCGATGATGGAGAAGAAGAGTAGGTTGGGTGAGAGATCGACAGTCACAAGAGGAGGCGGGAGGGGTAAAAGAGGAACTGTGATGGACAGATGAGGGGAGGGGAACACGAAGGGTGTAGAGGCGAGTAGTAGGAGAAGGGCGAAACGAGCGAGGTGTCGGTCGTGGTAATGAAGATCACAATAGAGTGCACCTGCGGGGAAGAGTGCTCGCACACTCAGGCGTTGGAAGGCGGGGAGACATAAGAGGTTATGATTGCAAGAGGAAACATAAAGGCCAGTAACAGCGCCAGAGGGAGAGGCAGGACAAGGAAGAGAGGAAGTGCCAGTGCAGATCATGGTCATGGTCTCCCCAGCCCCATCAATAGAGAGGGGACGAGGAAATTTGAGAAGGACACTGGCATCACGAAAGAGAGAGTCAGTACCATCACTGTCAAGGACAAAATTCAAGGTGCGAGGAAGTGAGAGAATGGCAGCTGTAGGGCTAGGAGAGTGAGGGGTAGTTCTTTGAAGGGGTGGAGAAAGTGGAACGACAAAGCAAGGATCCATAAGAGGAGAAGCACCAAGGATGCTATCATGCGATGGCATGGTCACATTGAAGACAGAGGTCAGAGAACCCATACCAGTAGTTACAGCGGCAGATGAGCGGCGACGGTGATGGGACAGCGGAGTCCAAGCAGACAGGTGGAGAAGAGGGGATGTCCAGCGGCTAGTAGGAGAGGTGCAAGTGGAGGAAGGGGCAGCGAAGGGAGTGGAGAGTAGGGAAGGCAAGGGTAGGAGAGGAGGTACGGTAGGAGAAGGGTGAGGGCGGAAGCGCAGAGGAAGAGAGGTAAGAGCGAGAAGAGGCACCACCTAGGGGAGATAAAAGAGGAGGAATAGGGGGGAGGTAGTCACCTACTGAGCCGTTCAGGGGAGAAATAAGAGGAGGAGGAATAGGGACAAGGTAGTCAGCTGCTGAGCCGGCGAGGGGAGAAATAAGAGGAGTCTTATTAGCACAAGCTAAACACACCCTTGTGTTTAGCTTTTGCTAGAAACTAAGAAATGAACATAAACTGAACCGAAAGTGTAACGCCCTCTAAACATGGCGAAATAACAAAAGAAAACCATGATAAATGCCAGAGCGAGCTCTAGCCTACTCCAAAAACAAGCATCGTGCCGCATGGGGCGGGTAAAGGGGGTGAAGGAGAATGAATGGCATGCTCTCTCACTGCCCTCGTGTGCGTGCCATGGCATTGGATGCGTGCCATGGCACTGGATGCGTGCCATGGCATTGGATGCGTGCCGTGGAGCATGCAGCACTTCTCTTGTCATGCGCCAATTTTGACTTAAGTATGGCATGGCGTGTGTGCCATGCGAGGCAGGAGCAGAGGCATGCAGCAGCATGTGTGATGCTCTAGACTTTGAACAACAATCATCCTCTGATCGACCCAGCTCCTTCACAGGATGATGCTCCCAATGCCTATGCTCTACATAAGCAGTTACCCATCCACTATACCTGTCTCACCCTACCATCCTCACTGTACCTGTCTCCCTATGCTTCACTCACCGTACTTCTCTCACCAAACCTGTCCCGCCGTACCACTCTCACCGTACCAGACTCACCGTACCTGTCTCACTGTACCTCTCTCACCGTACCTCTCTCACCGTACCTGTCTTGCCAGCATCCATGAGCACCATCACATCTTCAGTCAACTGCTCAAACAGCTGCTGCCTTTCCTCCTTATCCATGCCCCCCTCCTCCCCCTCCCCCCCTCCCGCCTCCTCCATCAACCGTGGTCTATTCTGCTATCTCCCCCCTTTCCCCCTCCCCTCCCCGCCATCCTCCCCGTCCCCAGCACCCCTCGGACGACCTCTCTTCTTCCCCTCATTCCCTTCCTTCACCCCCCCTGCTCCCCCCTGCCCTGCGTCCTTCGTCCCCCGCCCCAGGCGCTTGAGCCCTTGAATGACCTCCATACGTGGGTAAGGCGAAGAGTGAAGGGGGGGAGGGAAGAGGGGGAGGGGAGGAGGGGAGGAGGGTTTTGAGAGCACGGGTGGAGAAGGGGAGATTTTTGTGAAAGTTAAAAGAGAGAAGAGGATTGCACTAGCAAGAATGAGGATACAAATAGCAAACCCTAGAAGGGTTGTACTCGCTATAGAGCACCCCACTACAGGCTAGAGCATAAGAT